TTCGATCCATTGCGGATAACTACCAGCTAATCATTGTTGGGAGACGATACAACACGGAAGATCCCCGAACTTTAGGCCTTGAGGAATGGAGTGAATTTCAAGAGATTGGAATCATTGGAGACCTGCTTTCATCTGTAGATTTTGGTGGCAATTATTCTGTGTTGATTGTGCAACAACAACAACTAAGGACTGCTTAAGTCCCAATATAAATGATGTTCTAAAGTTGCCATTTGCTTTCCCTACTCATATCCGTAGGATGTTCGATGTGCGTTAGTATTAGCCAAAGACTTGTAAATTCAAGACTTGCCTTTGGGTGGTTCTAAGAACTTGAAATATTTGATGAAGTTGGGACAGTGTTTGACCCAATTGTGCAATCCGACTTGTAGAAAAAAAAAATGGACTTGCTTTCTGATTTCTTCCAAAAAAAAAAAAAGCTCAAATAGAACAACTGGGAAATGGGGCTTTTAGGAGCCTTGCCCCTGTCTTTTCAAAAGTTTTAAAATCTTATAATTTTTCCTTGTTTTTATGTTTAAATTTTATAATTTTGTTTTTATTTTTTAAAAAATTTATAATTTCACTTTTATAAACATTGAACATTTTGTTTTCACCCTCCAAATATAAAATCTTGACTCCATCATTGACAACAACTATACCTCTTTTATTGAGACATTTGATTGGTAATTATGCATGATTTGCTCATGTCTATAAGCTTGATCTTCTGGTGCTTTTTGTCTTTGTTGATTACCTCTGTGCCAAACTTAAAGAAAAGATGAAGATTCTATTTTCTCAATAATCGATATCATTTCAGAGACATGACAAAAACATTATGCGTTCAGTCATTATTTTGCATGCATTTTGTACAAACGGATCGATATCGTAAAGCTTAATTAATTAAGTATTAATATATATATTTAGTTCACCAGAAAAGTTAAGAAACATTCAAATATTAAATTAATTGTAATAAGTATGTAGAAGCAAAAAAATTCAATTGAATTAGTATCACTTTGTCAAAGAAAGATGGAAAATTAATATCTACCAAAAGGAAAAGATAAGCTCAAATCGTACTCCACCTAATGGAGGACATGCGAATAATCAAATTGAAGTATAACACATGTTAGAGTAGTCAGACAAGGCACATGTATATCACCATCACATTATTGTCTGTCATCGTGCCATTCCTTCCCTTTGTAGTGCCATTGCATCAATCATTTATCAAAACCATAGTATCGGTTCGCCTAACATTACTGAACTAAAGAAACAAGTTACAAATTGCTAGTTTGAAATTTGGAATAGTATTGATTGAAACATTTAATTCAGCTAGGGTGGGGTATCAGCTTTTCTTTTTTCCATTTTTGTTTTGAAAGTCAAGTAGAAATTTCATTCCATGAAGAGATTTACAAAAACCTCTAAGTTGTGGTAGAAAACCCGCCCAACACTAGAAAAGGAACTTCCCAATAAGGCTAGTATACATCTGTATTAGTCACTGAATTGATTTGAGATCAAACTAACAGTACTAAGTTTACCCCATAGCAGCCAAATGGTATTGCCCGAAATGTTTCAGGCCTTTCAGTTTACAAGGAAACAATGGCACACCAGCGAAACACGATCATAATTAGACCATAGCAGCCCAGAACAAACTAGAAAACAGCAAAAGCGCCACCTGTCCCCGTGATCATGAAAACTAAGCAGAAATAACTGTCACCATGGTCACAGTACCTTAACTTTGAAATTAAAATTCACACAAAGCTAGCTTCACCACATACATAACACGCCAGCTGTTAATGACCCTTGACAAAGCTCGAGCCAGCTCTGAACATCATTAAGACACTGCTCACCATCGCACCAGACAGCCAAAACCAATCGCAAAAAACTTCACCCACCCCACAGGGGAATAGCTGCCAGTTCCTTAGGCATAGGAACTTCTCCCCCAGCCTGCATCCATGCCTTATACCAAGTGTTGACATAGCATCCCTCGAGTAAACTTCCAACCAGCGGCCCGATGCACCGCCAGTTGCATTCTTACAACAAAGATCCTCCCACCTCTTGTCCTTTGGGCTCAGCACGAAGACTCACATCAACCCATAAGAAGCAGGGGCAAAAAGGGGAATCATACAAACAGCCTCAGGATATGTTACGGATTCGTCTCAAGTATCATATACTGGCTTTTCTATGTGTTAAGGCAGCTTTCCTTTGCTGATATATCTGTAATTTTGATGAAAAATATCATGCAGTACAAGCTTCTATGCATGTGCTCTACGCAAAATGCACAAAACTACTCAAAATTTGTCTGGTTCCAGATGATTGCTGCCTAACTTTTAACGGTAGAATATACAGTGAAGGACTACTGAAGGGTTAAAAATATCTCCAACTAAAAAAATTAAAAAACGAAACGCTAAGAAGTAATAAAATGCACGTACATGGCTGTAAAGTGGACGCCTTCATTTTATGTAGGAGTCGTGTCCTTTAGCTTAATAAAACCAACACCCTCAAGTCTGAAACTCGAAAAGAGTAACAGTACTCTTTAAAACAGTTTGAGGTATTTGCTTTTAGTTATATTGAGTAATATGGTTTATAATGCATACCTGCGGTCTTAATTTAGACAAAATATATGTTAAAAATATAGAAAAAAGTTTTTTCAATCGACGTCACTTAATTGGTAAAAATTAATAATAGTAAAATGCCTTGGATGGGGTTAATAACAAAGTAAGTCAAAAATAAAAATTTCCGTTGCCGGGAATCGAACCCGGGTCTCCTGGGTGAAAGCCAGATATCCTAACCGCTGGACGACAACGGATTTGTTGATGAGAGGCCCAGCGGTTAGTAAATAAGGGTAAATACCGCTTTGTTCTGCTCACCTCAAAACAGCAAGGAAAATCCCGTGGAAACGGAGCAAAATCCAAAGTTGAGCGCCATAAATCATTGCATTATAAAAAAATATGGCTATATTCCTTCTTACCCCATTTGAAATCTGTCACAAAGTACTCAAGTACTGGTAATAAGAAAGTCACATATATTGGTTGTAGAAAATGCAACCTCACGATGATCGTTATTGCGTTGAGTGGTCGGAGGCCCCTCCATTTCGGTATTAGATTAGTTACACATTTGATATCTGAATTATACTATAGTTGTCCTCTCTCTAGTTGTCTTCCTGGCCCCGGAGGCAGCCAATTGTCACACCATAACTTGTAAAATTAAAAATAATAAGGAGCAAATGCAATCTGCTGCTCTTTATATATAAAATCACCATACATATCATTTCATGGAATCAACTCCTCACGAAATGCTTAGAAACGGAAAACCCTATATAATCAAGTTACAATGCTAACAATCTATTCCAACAACCTTGGAGCGGAAGCACATGAGCTCTTGCTGTTCCGAGGCTGCCCGATGCTCTTCTTGAACAAAATTGCCTTAACAGAACACTTTCAAGTCCTCCATTTCCATCTTCCTTCCAGGTTTCTTCACTTGCTGCATCATTTAAGTATCTTAAAGGCTCCAAGAGTGCGAATGTCTTCAGCCAAGCTTGCCGCCCCTGTCAAAACGACTTGCCTTAACTTCCATCATAGGAAAATGGTTAAATTAAGGTAAAAACCAATTCCCACTGTAAGCTCTGCACAATTGACTTAATTTAACCATTTTCCTTTTATGGTACCTAGGACAAAAGAATCCAGTTTGTTTGATAGCTATGCGGCAAATTAAATTAATTATTCAAGACTGATACTAAACTTCCTTCTTAAAACTTACTGTTCATGAAACCTTAAAAGAAAGGGAATAGGGGCAAACTTTACAACATATGCAGACAAATAATTGGTTAATTACACTTGAAGACCACATCTTATATGAAAGAACACAGAAAGCAGTCACTTTAAGAACTACTTGACTTTTCCAACGACCTTAAAAACCCGATCATATTGTCATAAATATCTCTATTTGCTTTTATGCTCAAAAGGAAGTCTATGTGACCGTAGTTCTCAAGATAAAGCAACTCTGGCTTGGACGGTAATTCCTCAAGAGTGTGCTGCACATCCGTTATATCTGCTAAGGCATCATTCCCCCCATAACTCATCCATAATGGCAATGACTTGGGTATGCTGTTAAGATCAAATGCAGGGGGTTTCAACCTTCCATACATCAGTATGTTTTTCAAGATTCCATAATCATACTGGGAAAAAGTACCCTGGCGGATCACTGCCAAACATAGAGAAAGACCATAAATGGTTTAGCAAATCGTATCAATTCAACAAACATCTATTCTAATATAATCTGTCTAAAAGGAATGGAAGAAAACAATAAATAGTTTTGCAGCTTTAAAACAATATAATTATTTCTAAAGCTAAAAGTAATAGTCTAGAATGTGGAATTCTACAAAGAGGTAAGCGAATTCAGGTTAACACAAAAGTAGAAAAAAGAACGGCAACTGAAAGAAGTATATAAAAACATACTCTGGAAAAGATGGCGCAAGTTCTTTACAGATGATGGGTGAGGTTCATATTCCAAGTAGAAGTCCATGCGAGTTTTATTAAAGCAGCAATTCTGACCTGCAATGTTCTCTTGTCAAATACCTTTCATTAATAGTAAGGTATTACACATTTTGAACATCTTTGTTACTGATTTTATAGTTTCAGAGTGCTTATTAAACTTTTATAAGGTCAAAACTTAAAGACACCCTCAAAGCTTAAAATTTATGAAACCCTAGCAAAAACAACTAAAACATTTATTCCAGACTAGAGAAGCAGGCAAAGTATACAGTCCTTTGTTTTATATTTTTACTAAACTTGGAAAGGAGAAGGTTATATCAGTTATGGTTTTAAAAAACTTTAACGCCCAGCTATGGGCAATTTAGTGTTCAGCTCTATCTAGTGCAATATCCTACAATTAAAATGTGAACTGAGTGCCCGAAGCAGAGCATATGACCCACTTTTAAGCATACTTTCAAGGCTAGCATCAAATGAGAACTATTTACTGAGTCTAAAAAATTTTGAGCTAGTGCACTTATGCAGCACAATGGCATAAAAACAAATTCCAACAAAAAGAAAATAGCATCTTGAAAAATGAAAAGAATGCAAACTTCTGTGTGTATGTCTACATGTTGTGAATATATCTGTATGTGTGCATGTGTAAAGACATAAGAGGAGAAGAAAACCTGTTATAGCAGTTAGAAAATCAGTGCAATCCACGTGCCCATCACATAATGACTCCACAAGGTTCACCAACACATCACTGAAGTTAAAATAGCAACATGTAAAGCAATTAAACCCCTAAATCAACACAAAGGTACAAGGCCAACCAACACCTTCATAACAGTTGATAAGATACTAGGACAAAAAGGAAAAACAAAAGAGACACAGGTGTTACTAAACCTTCTGAAATTCAATTGATGTATCCCCAAAGCAAGAACCATCTGTCAGAAAAGAATGTTTAAGAACATCATAATGGCCAGAAATCAATTTTACTAGGTAAAACAACAATAACAAACAAGGTATACCTGATCAAGATGCATTGCAACCATTCTAAGTACAAGTGGAGCACTGACATGTTCCAAGTAAGATATTGGAGACAAAAGAGCAGCAGCTTCAACCATTTCCACTATGTCTGGCTGAGTGAGAGCAGCCAAAGACATGATGGTTCCCTGTGAGTAAAAGGTATGGGATAAGTAACCTAAAGAGGCAATGAGGAAAACCAGGTAAACAGGCTCTAGGTATAGGATAAGTAACCTGTGAATGTCCAACAATAAAGATTTTGAAGCTTGTAACTGAATTTATGTAGTGTAACATTTCTGCAAGATCATAGAGAGCTAATTCCTGCCAACTCCACTCCCAAAATTCCTGCAAGAAGCCAACAGCTACTAAAGCTACGTTGCAAAGTGGGAGGAGAGAATACAAACCATGAAGATATACATTCCTTTATGTCTGTTGCAACAAATGAAGAGGTTTGAGATACACAACCTTGAGACAAACTATTAGGATATAGATGCACCAGCGAACCCTTATATCAGTAAAGAAACAAAAGAAGAGATAAAAGCGGCAAAGATAGCGTTATGACTAGCAGATTGTACTCTTAAGTAAGGAAACTGGATGTTAATAACCTTGCTTTCAAGGTCTTCTTCTTTTTTTCTTTTTTAATACTTTGAGCTTTATTTATTTCAAAAGAACTAGGTAAACTTGCTATCAACAGGATATACAAAACAAAGCAGCACAGACATTGAAGACCAGAAGCAGGTACATGTGTGTGTCAAGCTCATAAGACAAACACAGTCAACTAAGGTATACACATTGCGAGATGAATTCAATGTTTGTGCAGCCAACATCTTAGGTAGTTGAAGTTTTCCACGTTGAATACGGCCAACTAAGCTATACACATTGCAAGATGAATTCCAGCAAATAGAAAAGGGCATAAGGTATAGACTTTGTCTACCTTCTCTGTCTCAGACAAAGATACGTGTCCATGACTCCATCGTGTTCCACGCACATTTCCAACCCAGACATCAAAACCCTGGTCTGCTAGGATGAAGCCCAATGACTGATCAGTAGAATCCAAAAACCATGCATCACCTGCCTGTTTGAATTAGAGTAAATCAAGATAAGAAGCTACGAGTGACCAAATTCACTCAATTGTAAAAAAAAAAATACATGCACATACAAAAAAATAGTACTCATGTATATACATAAATATTACATATTATCTTACAATCAGACAGCAAAAAGTTTGATTTTTTTTGTTAATTATTGCAACAATCACTAGATCTAGGTTTCTGTGTCAGAAAAACAGAAAATATGGCATCTTTCAGCATGCACTCCCAAGAAAAAAGAACAGAGAAATTTCAGATGAGCATATCAATAACTAGAGCTTGGTAGAATCAAGACACATGAGCAGACCTTAACAACCAACTACACAATTAATTGCATTGATCAATTTATAAAGTAAAGGCTGTGCCCTTGAATTCAGCCTGGACAATTTCCAACTGAGAATCAATAGGAAATCATAAACCATCAAATAAGTCAAGGTCATTAGACCAGAGATATAACCATTGAAAATCTATGAGATCTCAAAAGATTCCTTTCTAAGCATTATAATTTTTTCCCAATAAGTACTAAAAGTGACTAGGGCACCCTTGCAAGGCAATTTCTAGCAAACTCTACTAAAATAGGCAAGGTTATGGACAAATAACCAACCATCCCTGGTTCAGCAGCAAATTCGATATTGATCAAGTCATGTCACGGAGGCTAATATGCCTAATATAACAGCTGAATAGAAGTAACAGACAAAATATGACCGATGCTCTATCTTGTTTTGATTGTTTCAAGTGAATGGAGAAGTTACCATGAATAATCCATGTTGAAGCAAAACAGGACGACTCTGTTGAACTCTAAGATCCCCAGAACGAGACGACACGCGATGAAGAGCTAATATGTAGCCATCCTTAGTTTGAACCTTTTTAAGAAAATAGTAATAAAAAATCAAAAGGAAATTATACTTTCACTTACGGAACAAGAAAACAACATTTCAACTTACAAAATTTAACTAGAAAGCCCTAAAGAACCAAAGTAAGCGAACTTTAGCAAAATGTGCTTCATAGTTATACCACAAATTTAACCACGACAAAGAGATTTGATTAAGTTTCTGGAAAAAGGAAAGGGATAAAAAGCAGCAGAAAAATTTCCCAAATTTTGGAAAATTAAACTTGGCTGAAAATGTTTCTTCGCGCAGCTCGCCAATAATATGGTACTAGGAATATCAGGAAAAAAGAAAAAGTAAATTCCATTGCTCGCAATTTCTCCCAAAACCAAACAAAAAAAAAATTGTATATTTGCTTCTATGATCGCTCCACAACGTACTAGTCCTCTCTTAATTTCCTTCATTATTTTTCCCCGTTTCTTAACTACCAAACGAACCGTAACAAGAATAAACATGAGAGAGAGAATACAGTGTGTTCGGTGCAGGAATAACCGTTGGGCTCGATAAGCTGGGCGCAGAGAGAATCGGCGGGGGAAGATTGGTCGAGATAGGAAGATTTTCCGGCGAAATCTCCGTCAGAAAGGGTAAGGGAAAAGGACAGGAAGAAGATAAAAAATGGTGGAAGAAGCGCCGGCAACTTTTCCATGTCTGTCAAACGGAGTAAAGATTGAGGAAGCGGGACGGGACCACCCCACACCAGACCTCACATTCTCTGTTCACCTTTCTAGTGTAGCAGTACTCCTTTATATACTTTATCTATTTTAATGAATATTATCGAATAATGAAATATAACACCAAAATTTTTAACTGTACTTATCAAGCGTAACGCAAAAACATGTGTATTTATCATATGAAATTTCTCTAATCTCTATGTGACAAAAGAAAATTGTACTTTCTTCCACTGTCGCACTCCTTCTCTCTCTCGTGATTTTTTATTTTGAAGTGATGATGGAGAGAAGTCAATGATTTAAATAATGCCATAGGTATAGGTAGAGAGGCAAAGGCCATGTGGATGGTCATACACGGTTCGATTTTTTATTACTAAGACTTTAGAATATTTGATTAACCGCAGGCAGGATCAGCCCTTGGGTGAAGGCATCCAAGTAAGGGCTTTAAGCTTTCAATTTGAGGAAGTTTTATATTTTTATAATATAATTTATTATATTAAAAAATATAAAAATTTAAAAATAATCAACAAAATTATTTATTTTTTTTACTTTTTTAATTATGTATATAATAAATTTTAATTTTTTTTTATTTTTTAATTTTTAAAATATTATATTATTTTCAATTAACTAACGATTATATATATATTTAATTATCTTCAATAATTATTTTTTTCTTATTTATTTCTTTTATTTTCAATTAACATATTTAATGATTTTTAACAACTATTTTTTTATATATAAAACCAATTATTTATTTTTTAATATACAATATCTACTTTTGAATCTTCTTTTTCTCATTTGCTCTTTCTCCTTTCTTCCTTTAGTTTTAATTTTCTTTCAAATAATATATAAAAAGTTTGTTATGTTATTATCTTCATAAAGCCTTGAGTCGGTTTATAATAAACATTCAATAATTAAATATTATTATTTTAATATTTATAAACTTTTTTATTTTAATTTAGAATTTATATTATATTATTATATTATTTTTATTTTATGTGGTAGTTGATTTATTTAAATTAAAAATTTTGATTGTTGATTTTGTATTAATTATTTAAAAAATATAAAAATTTTATATCTAAAAAAATAAAAAAATTAATAATTTTTTTAATTTTAATAAAAAAATTAATAATTTTTTTAATTTTAATAAAAAAAAGGTCTTATTGAATATTTTCCTTTAAACTTTTAAATTTATTGAGCCATCTTTGATGACGGGAAAAATAGGAAAAGAATTTTTGGATGAAAGAAAATAATACTAGAAAAATTGAACTGTCAATACTTGCATGTGACTCTGAATATGTCCAAGTTCATTTGTAACATATGGACCACAATTACAAAGCCCTATCTATCTTCTCCAGTCTCCGAGTCACAAGTTGCTTCTGTAGTTTCCGCAGCAAGGATACGCTAATGTTTCATCTTATGATCAGACAAGGCCCACGAGGGTTTGGGTCCACTAAAACCCCATTGGTTCCCATTAAGACTTCGTCCCCTTTTTTTTCGTAGTCCATCGTTAGTTAGACTTCTCTGTTGATCGTTATTATTTTTCTTAAACCCCTGCAAAGCACCGCTAGAACAAACAGCTCCAGGAACAATTAAGTGAAAAAAAAAATGGCATTTTCTGAGTTCAGGCCATTAAACGAGAAGTCCCTCGTCGAATACATAAAAGCGACGTCTTCTTTGTCATCGAAGATCGGGGACAAGTACGATGATTTAAAGATTAAGGAAGTTGGAGATGGCAATCTTAATTTCGTCTACATCATCGTTGGCGCTTCTGGTTCTTTTGTCATCAAGCAGGTTTCACTCTTGTCCATCTGTTGCTTTCTTTTTTTTTACCTTTAAACAAGTGAAATATGAAATGGGTTTTCGAATTTATGCTTAGGTTTTTAGAAAACTATTCTGTTTAATCTGTTGGAATACAGGCGCTTCCTTACATACGATGTATTGGGGAATCTTGGCCGATGACAAAGGAAAGAGCATATTTCGAAGCAATAGCTTTAAAAGAGCATGGTGGATTGTGCCCTCAACATGTTCCTGAAGTTTATCATTTTGACCGTACCATGTCTTTGATTGGAATGCGTTATATAGAGCCTCCCCATATAATTCTCCGAAAAGGGTTGATTGCTGGAATTGAATATCCATTCCTGGCGGAACATATGTCAGAATACATGGCCAAGACTCTTTTCTGCACATCTCTTCTATATCGGTCAACCACAGAGCATAAGCGTGCTGGTAATGGATTCTCATGTTTTTTCTTTTTCTTTTTAGTTTGGTTTTGGTATAGTGCCGATGCAGTACCTGAAAGTACATTTGGGGGTTGGAAGTCAGGCCTGATTTAAATTTGTGTGGTGCACTCATTAAGCTTTATTGTGGAAGCTGGGTCGCAACCTTGATTCAGAAATAAAAATAAAGGTTATGTCGTATCTAAGCACTGTATTTTTCTCCCCTTGCAAATATATGATGGTTTGGTGAAAGAAATCAAACTATCTACGGTGTCCTGTTTAGGGTGGCCATTCAGTTGGGAAGTGTTTGGTATTCCCCAATCCTATATCAGTAGAGCAGTGTCATGTTAGCTGGTGGTGCTATAATAATTCCTTCTATCTGACAAGTGATTACTCCATAACATCTATATCTATAATTTTTATTCATTTAGGAAATGACAGGCATTTTAAGCGTGCTTCTCTATTCCTAATCATCTCTATGTAGCTTTTGCCTTTAGTAATCAACTAGTCGTTGAATCTTTTGATCTTTCTGACCTCAAATTTAATCAATCCTGTGAGCGATCTTAGCAGCAGTAAGAATATGCTTTTAATAAAAACCTGTACCCTTATTTATCTCAGACACTTTAGTCATCCCAAATGTCATGGCATTAGAAAGAAATGCTTCTATATGTCAGTAGTTATGAAGAATTGGGCTTTCTGCTAAACAACCAAAATGGATAATTATCAGCTTTGTCATTTTAGCTCAATTAATCTATATTTTTTAGCTTAAAGATAATGTTTTTGTCTAGTAGTGATAGTTTTAAAAGCTTGGAGATATGCTGCTAATTTACCTGCATTTATGTTTTGTGCAGTGGCTCAATTTTGTGGGAATGTGGAACTATGCAGGCTCACTGAGCAGGTTGTTTTTTCTGACCCGTATAAAGTATCTGAACATAACCGTTGGACTTCTCCTTATCTCGATCATGATGCCTTGGCTGTCCAGGAGGATGATATATTGAAGCTTGAAGTAGCTGAATTGAAATCTAAGTATGGTTGCTTTTCTTCTAAGGCTACTATGCATGTATAACAATTCTATGCTATATTCATTCAGTTATCAGACTTGCCTCTTTTATGTAGGTTCTGTGAAAGAGCCCAGGCCCTTATTCATGGAGATCTCCACACTGGTTCTATCATGGTTACCCGTGATTCAACTCAGGTCATAGATCCTGAGTTTGCATTTTATGGACCAATGGGGTTTGATATTGGTGCTTTTATTGGGAACTTGATTTTGTCTTTCTTTGCACAAGAAGGACATGCTGATCAAGGCAATGACAGAAAAGTATGCCCTTTTTTGTCTCTGTTATTGCTTTATAAAGTTTTCTAGCATACCTGTCTTTTTAATCAGTCATCTTCATTTATGATCTCATCTTGATATGTACTGTTTCAATACGTGCTACAAGCACTAAGGTTCTTCTGCTATAAATTTTGTTCTCCGTGAATACATTGATTATTGTTTTGCCACTTAAGTCAATTTATTCAATGAATCTTCATCGTCTTTGTCTCTCTTGTGATTTTATATTTAAATATATTATCTATGGTATCTCCATTTGTAGCTCAAGATAAAGTCTATTTGTTACCTTTTCTATGAGGGTATGTGGTCTACACAAACTTTTATGAGTTTCACCAAAATGTTTTACACCAAATATATTTGTACGGAGTTTAGGAAAATTAGATGTGGGTCAAAGTGAGGAAGCTGAATAAAGTAAGTGCTAGAGTGGGCATTTGGGCCTTCAAAGTATTGGGTTTCCTCCATTACTTGCAATTGTGATTTCCTAGTGAATTGATTGCAAATATGTAGGAAGAGGAATGCGGATACAGAGACACAGAGATCCACATACCTGCCTATATGTTTGCACTTTCATTGTGGTTGGGGAGCACGATTTGTAACTTGAAGTTTTACTTAGTGTTAACTTTACTCAAACTGGTTTTGAGGGTTTTGCCTCTATATGTATTTGTAGGTATATACATATTATACTTGTAACCTTTTTAGTTACAGGCTATAAAGTATGATTTATAGGCTTTTCTTTATTTTTTTATTTGAAAAGGTTTAATTTGCTTTTGTTTTTGAAAAGATTTCAAGCACTATATGGCATGAGTGAATTTCATATTGCCATGCAGATATACAAAGAGTGGATATTGAAGACAATTGAGGATACTTGGAATCTTTTCCACCAAAAATTCACTGCTCTTTGGGATCAACACAAGGATGGCTCCGGGGAGGCTTATCTTCCAGCAATTTATAACAACCCTGAGCTTCAGAAGCTTATACAAGAAAAATATATGAAAGAATTGTTCCATGACACACTTGGATTTGGTGCTGCTAAGATGATAAGGTGAGATAAAGGTTTTCTACCAAGGTCCTTTATATTTCCTTCATTCCTGGCCCTTATAATTGCCAGAGTTTGTCTATTATGGTCTGTTACCTTGCACTTGCAGCCCATTGCAGTTATAATATGTGCCTTTGAGTGAACCATCTTCTAGACTTTTTCCCATATTTTTTTGGACATTGTACTCTTGTTCTGTTTTATTATCCTGCTACTGTGTCGGCAATTGATTCTTAACCTTGACAACAAATTTTGGTTAACACTCAAAAGAAACCGATTTATAAGTTTACTAGGAATTACTAATGAGATAATAACCTTCGAAATCTCTATGCACAGAACCTTGAGCTTGGAATATTTGTAGGATGACTTTCTTTTCTAGTAAATTCAGGCAACTGTACATGTTTGACTCTTAATTTATCAGATAAGAGGAGTCGTCCTGTATTAGGTCAAATACCAGTTATAAAAGCAGCTACTCTTCCTGTATTAACATGCAGGATCCTACTTTTTTAAATAATTATGAACTTTATCCGAATATTGATTCTTTATTGGTAAAACTCTGAAAATTTGTAATTGTGATGAATTTATCTTTTAATATGCAGGAGAATTGTTGGTATCGCTCATGTTGAGGATTTTGAATCAATTAGAGAAGCTAGCATAAGAGCAGATTGTGAGCGGCAGGCTCTTGAATTAGCTAAGACCCTTCTCAAGAAGAGGCGAGAATTCCTGTCAATTAGTGAAGTTATCTCAGCCATCACGCATGTCCAATCATGATGGAAATTACCTGAAAATTGTGGTTTGCTCCTGGTATTGGTTCCCTCATTAAGCATCTTCAGATTTTTGTGCTGAGACCAGGCCTCTCTTTGCTGCAGTTATTCCAAATTTTTGTGTGGTAGGCCATCATTTAGTCTAATTTTGTTCATGTAAAACTGCTGTTGTTCTATATGTGCCAGCTTTGCATGATCCAGAAATTACCTACTGTTTATAATTTAAAGTTATCATGCTTTCTTGTATGAAACCACCTGTAGTCTTGCTCTCCTGGATCGTGAGTATATAACTAAAGATTCCCGTCTCTTTAACAGCGGAGCCGACTGAGATTGTTGCAAAGCACAAGTACTTTTTGAGTGTTTAGGTTATTCTGAATTTGACCCTTGGGCAATGTGGTACACTGGATCTGTGCTATCTTCATTAGAAATATTTTGGCACGTTATCTTGCTCTCACCCGTTCCCTGGCGCTAATTGAACAAGTGAAAAACTTCATCTGTTTAAGATCCTAGTTTGCTGAGCAAACGGTTAAGTTTGAATTGTTTTCTATATTCTGTGATATGTAATTGATGATTTCATGTTGGCTACAATCGGGTGGTAAGTGCCAAAATGTTTCTATGGAAATTGGCTGTATAGCTTTCTCACGTTGACAGTCCTCTCAAAACACGATGTCATAACTGAATCGAATAGGACAAATTATATGAAGCATTCAGAAGAAAAATTGTAAGCAATCAAACTCAAAACATCAAGCGAAAGGGGCTCTGAAGTGATAGCCATGCTTTTCTTGGAGGTCCGGGTAGACCCTCGTTATCTCATACAATGACATGTATAGAAGAGCTTCTACTTTTCTTAATTGGTGAACTATAGTAACTTTATTCTACCAGTTTATTTGTATGAGCAGATCAATTGGAGAATTAAGTTTTGTACTTAGCCTTGTAGTCGCTCCAGAGTTTATCAACATTTTTACCAAGCAGCTCAACAAAATAGTCGGAACTGTAGCTGCTTTTCATTTTCCGGTTGAGCTTTGCCACAAACCCACGACTGAGACTGTCACAGTAGTTGAGAAACCAGGCAGTTATGTCATACCCTTGGTCCCACTTATCACCCTGTCCGGCTGTTACCCAGTGAGGAGGTGCATATCCAGCTTTTAACCTGATAAAGTCTGCAATTCCTTCTATTAATCCTCCAGGAGTCTGGCCATTCCCATTCCACTGCCAAACATGTGCCGTCTCATGAACCAGTATTCCTGTAAATTCTCTCTTTACATCTCGTGAGTAGTTTCCGATGTAGTTGGCACTTAAATGGATCTCGTTGTCACTTTCGTATGCTACTCCATCCATGACATCAATGAACAAGCTAACTTGTTTGACATTCTTTCTTTCTGCTGGTCTTAGCTGCCCTAGGAGCCTCCATACGGTTGCTGTGGCAAATCGTAGAGATCGAGTGCTATATTGAACTCCGATTTCATTAATAAAGCGCACTCCTCCTTGAGTTGACGCTGCGTTGTTGGTTACTTTGAACAGAACTGCATAGGTTCCTTGTAGGATTGCCAAGGTTCCTAGGGAGAACAACAAGAACTTAAGGGTGGCCATGGTAATGGGTCTAAATCTTCTGTTTGCTGGGTTAAATGGTAGTAACTCTGTTGTTTATATAGAGACATAACACGCGTATTTGGGAGCGTAGCTAGCCAATTAAGTGTGTTTCTGTAGTGATGATCTACGCACTTGAATTTGTAATAAGAGCTAACTTGACTGAAGCTCTGTATGCGCTTGGTGACATAATGAACTTTGCATTGATTTCAATGATGAAACGAGTGCATTATCATGGCGGCACCTTTTGTGGAAGAATTGTGCAAGATATTTAATGAGTTTCAAGTGCGCATTTAAACCAGTTTCAATTTGGGAGTACTAGAGGCATGTCAAATAAGGTTATGAGTATGTACATTGTTAATGGAATGTGAGATGGGCGGCGTTTGAGTTGCTGGCTTGATTGCTTGAAAAGGATTCTTCTGATTGGAATTCTCCGATATCGAATTCACTTTATTACAATAAGTAATTGACTGAAGCTTTTCAATCCACGGATTGGCAAAATTCCATAATAATACAAGCTCAAGTGATCATTTCTTCTTCATCTATGCTTTTTACTGTCAAGATAATATCAAAAAATAGAGCCAGCTAACTTAATATCCTGTAGATATGCTTACTTTAAGAACTAGGTACTTTCTTTGAAGTACTATAGGGCGGTACTAACTTTATTAAAATTTGATTGGATAAATCTTGTCAATTACGATTCAATATCCACATATATCATCAATAATGCAATTATTTAGGATCAAACTCCATAATAACTCTCATTTTATGATTCATCGTCAAAAATTTTACTACTTATGACCTATAATATTTCCTTATTGATATGCTCACGTGACATTATCTGGAAGTCCTATAAAAACTTCTTCTTATATAAGGCTATAAATTTGAGTAAATAGACACAAGAAATTCAGCTACTTGATTGATTTAAGTGGAAAAACACTTAGATAGAGCAAAGAAATTAATGAGGCATTTCAATTAGATAGAATAAAATCAAAATACGCATTTTGTTGATTCAAGAAAAAAAAGAATAAAAGAAAGAAAATCAAACTACGTGTATGTTAGCACTAAGGAGCTAGCTGAACATTCCTTGCTTAAAACACCTTTGTCTTGTTGTATATGAAAATGAATTCTTATATGGAGACAAGATATAAATTGTGAGGCTTTGTTGATTTTGTAAGTGGACAGGTTTTCCTGAGGTTTTGTTTTTTCGGGACGATGTACTTAGAGGGGAGTTGCTGTCCAATTTATTGTGATTAGGTACTGTTGATGAGCCTAATTTTGGGAATATGCATACTTAATATGGTGCATAAACCAGAAAATTATGCCTTTTGTATAGGTTTCGGCCTTCGGTGGTGACGATTAGATTTTATGAAATCCATATACCTTTCCAAAACAAAAAAGTGAGGTTTACATTTTTTTGTGAATGGTATAAGATTTCGAACAAAACAAAAAGAACGAAGTCTGTGCTTGTGCCAGTTGGCCAGTGAACAAGTAGCAGATATTTTGGTTCTTGAAGAGCCCCTGCATCTGTATTTTGGCCAACGCTAGCGTGCTGGTTAATTACTTCATTCATTCACATCTCCTCCATAAATCAGCCTCCAGCATTTGCATTTCTTAGAACCCCTGGTTTGTCTGAGAGTTCATCTTGATAGATGTACACCGGACTAATAACTCTGAACATGCCTTTGCCGGTGATAAAAGAGTTTGACTTTGATTAGGGGAAAAAGACTAATAATAATAAAGAGCGACTTTCACCAATCCTAGCTTTTCCGGATTATTTCTGTTGACAGGATGACGGAGATGTGAAAGTAAGAGAATTAAGGGAGAGCAAGAAAGCTTGCCAGAATAGTGCAGTCCTGGCCAACAAGTCATTTGAAGCAATCCAAGTGATGCCTTAGTAATCAATCACGATTCAGATTTTATTTAGACAACTTATAAGTACATAATATGAGGATGAAAATACAACTGTAATTAATTTTATTCAGCTCTTACTTCTTAGCCAACTCGACTCGACCTTCTAATTGCTATACTTGGCCTTGTAATCACTCCAGAGCTGGTCAACAGTCTTCCCCAACAGCTCAACGAAATAATCAGCACTATAACCAGTTCTCATCTTCGTGTTAAGCTCTGCAACAAATCCATTTCTGAGACTATTACAATAGTCCAAAAACCTTGCTGTAACATCATAGCCTTGGTCCCACCTATCGCCCTGCCCTGGCTGCACCCAGTGGCTAGGAATATAATTAGCCTTTAGCCTCACAAAATCAGCTATTCCTTCAATTAATCCTCCAGGGGTCTGGCCGTTCCCGTTCCATTGCCAGATATGAGTAATTTCATGATAAAGCACCCCAGTAAATTCCCTTTTCACATCACCTGAATAGTCTCCTAGATAATTTGCATTAACATGAATTTCATTATTGACAGAAAAAGCAACGCCATCCCCATTTTCGATGAACAAGGTGACTTTTTGCACATTTTTTCTGTCAGCTGGGTTGTTTTGTTGGAAGATTCTCCAGATAAAATCTGTAGCGGAACTCAGAGTTTGCAGACTGTAGTCGACACCGATCTCGTTTCTGAAACGAATGCCACCGCCGCTGTTTCCAGCGTTGTCCTTGACAGCATATTCAACTGCATGGGTACCTTGCATGGCTGCAAGAGATAATATTAGCAGAGAGAAGAAAAACAAGTGGTGAGCCATGATAGCTTAATAGCTTAGAAGTTGCTTCTTCGTTTGCTTTTCGGTGGAGCTTTTGTTTGCAAGAAATGTCTTGTTCTCTATGGATTATATAGGAGTTGGATGGCAGTTGCCATATGGTACTTGGCTTTCTAGATTAATGTTATTGATTTAAATTTTTTAATAAAATATTTTTATATTTTTAAATTTTAATCATAATTTCACATGAATTTATTTATTTTTAAAATACATAATTTATTTTAAAAATTTAAATAACATGTAAATGTGAAATATTTAATATACTTTTTTTTATTTTTTTTCCAGAAAAAACATTCCCTATCTTACCTCTCAACAACCGATTACCCTGTGATAAGATCTGGCTTTTGCTTCGTTCCTCCATATGGAGCTCCTAGAGGAGGGGAGCCCTCCATTGGGAGCACCAGATCGATGCATTTCTGGGAAGGGAACACTCTCCTGAGCACAATGGGTACTCCCATGGAGAGGAGAGCACCAGATCATGCTCTCCAAGGGAGCGTAATCTGGCTAGATTGGCTAAATCTAACACTGACTAGATCTAGCTATGAGGTGGTTGACCAACAAGTCATAGGGTAAAGTTTTTTTTTTTATTGAGAGATCGAAAATTAAAAAAATAAAAAATTATAATTTATCTAGTTTGATAATTTTTAAATTTAATAAAGAGTAAAATTATTTAAAAATTATTATTGTGACAGAAATATTAATGATTAGATTTTATATGTTTAATAAAATATATTTTTTAAAATAAATTATCTATTTTAAAAGTTAATAAACTCTTATAAAATTATATCCTCAAATTTAAAACTTAAAAGTATTAAGATATTTATTTTAAAATTTTTAGCAATGCATTAAGTATGATGTAAAATGTAAGAGTAATACAGAATATATATTTACTCAACCATGTTTTATCCAAGGAATGGTGATAAAATAACGGCTGATCTTATGAACTTTTAAGTTTTAATGCAATCATTTTAGACGTCAACCAAAAAATTAGACATTGAAGAAACAAAAATCTCTTGGCAAAATACAATTTGGTCAACTTTTTTCCATATTTCTTCACACATGTCGAGCATTGAACGCAACTGTGATGTGATGATGGGAAATCTGCTCTAGAAAATGCACACTAGTCAAAATTGGAGGGACAATAAAGAAAAGAGAAGAGACGGATAGAACCTATCCTAAGGTCTTGCGTTTAAATCCCTCAACAATGACAACAAAATCCGTTACGGATTTGGACTTGGTCCATGACCGACGTAATCATGCAGTGTACTTAATTTCCTAATCAAAGCTTAGCGTTGAGTTTGAATCAGCACTCCTTCGTCCCCAGATGAATGTGTTCGGCAGAGAGCACTTCACCAGATCCATGGAGATGGGAAAAATTAAGGACCAAGAGAAAACCATAACATTATAGACAGAGTAACTCATTGGAGCAAATTAAGGGGCCTGATTTTATTGACCTGTATGTTTATTTTAAGCATATGTACATTAAGAAAAGATCATATGAGCAAGGAAATGAATAAGAGGGAGACAAATGGCGAACTGCCAGATAAATCCGGACAACAAAAATCAACCACCCACGCCATCATATTCAAAAGCGTGTATAAGAGGGAGAAGTCTCAGCTGACCAAATTTAATAAAATTATTCTCTTTTAATGTTGGTATAAGGATTTGTTTGAAATGTGTTTTGAGTTTTTTTGTAAAATCAAGCCTTTGAATTAGGAAAACTAAAGAAAAGAAGATAGCTAACGAACACAGCTCGTACATAACCATAGTTAATTAAGCTAAGCATTGTTAAGAATTTAAAAGATTGAGTTTTAAATTTTGGTATTATAGATTAATTTTTATAGATTTTTTTATTTTACGTAATAAAAAATAAAAATTTATTTAATAATTTATAAATTTTTTTAAATATTATGTCAATTTTTTTAAAATAAGAAAAAGATAATCTCTAATCTTTAATTAGTAAAATAATTGACCAATCCAGAGGAATGATCAAGTGATGAAAAGTCGACCTAGTTCACAAAATTCAATTGAAAACCAACGCAATCAGCGGTGACGTACCGGGGTCGGCTTCTCCAGGCGGATGTCTTCCTTGACTTGGACTTTGGAGTCTTTGGATTTTGTCCCTTTCCTTGCTCTAGCCAGACTATTCTACGCAGATTTGTGGCTGAATTTGATCACATAAGGGAGTACATATTTTTATTGTCAGTGTTAAGACTCGGAGATAACTATTAAAAATACATTTTAAGTAAAAGGGTTCGTTGTGTGTGGACCTAATTTGTTTACTCTTTTCATTTCCATCTC